TTGGAGAAGGAAACCTTCAAAAATTCTCTTGTTGCCATAAGGGTGTGGGGATGTCTTTGAAGGGGTAGACCTTCAGTACAAATTGTTTGCTTTTAAAAGTGTAAATTAATCTAAACCCAGGTGATTACCCATTTCCATTTCTCTCTGATTTTGTTCTGTGAAAAACAATCTTCCCCAAACACCGCCTTTCCTTTGCCACAGACTTCCAAGGGCATCCCCCTCTTTTGGGAAGCATGCTTGAAGAAAAGGGACTTTGATGTCAGATTCGGATTTCCTCCATTCACAGTCTTTTAATTCGTAAAAATGGCTCAGTTTTAGGACTCCATGGCAGGGCTCCTCTCTACATGCAAAGCTCCCCTGCACACCTCCAGCCTGGGTGCAGGGGATTGCAGGCAGATGCCTGACCCCAGAGACAGGCATGGTGCTAGGGGTATGATGTGTGCCACGGCACAACAAGGAGCCACAGGAGCTCATGCTTGGGGACTGGCCGCCCGAGCACTATGCGTGGCTCCCAGCAAACCTTTGTTGCAAGAGGCAAAGGCTCCTTTCTTCTCTCCTGGTGACTCACAGGCCCTCGAGAGCCAGGGACAAAGCTACCCCTTTCCCAGTGCTGGGAGAGGTATTCAAGGCAGAAGGAGCCTTCCCAGGAACCTCTGCAAAGAGCCTTTGGTGCTGGCTCCAGAAGAGCTCTGGGTTTGAAGGGATCCTGGAAGCCCTCAGAGGCTGAGTGAATGCCAGCATTCATTCAGCGCTCGCTGAGCCATTCATCTCTGCCCATCGCTCCCTCAAAGAGGAACAAAAATGAAAGCAAAGTCGAAATGCTTTTCTCCCTCCACTTCCCCCCACCTCTCAGAACATCTCTTTGCATGCACTCTTCTCCCTCCCCCTTGAGATCTCCGCTCTCAGCCCATTCTTTGCTGGGAGAAGGGAGCAAGCAGGGACACAGCCAGGCAACAGAGCCTTGCCAACACAGGGCTTGGGTTTGCTTTTCTCACCTCCTGCAGAAATGGGGTGAATTTCTTATTTTTCCCTTGCATTTTGCTGCTTTCCCCCTCATGCTCACAGTCTGGGTTAGCAAAGGAGAAGGGGACAGCACAAGCAAGATGACATCTTGTCCTGGCCGGGGGGAACAGACGGCTAATGAGGAGAGAAAATCTCCACCCTGGGCTTCCTGCAGCTCACAATCATGGGCCCAGAAAGCGGGAGACCCCCTTCACCCACCCAACAGCCCCAGTGGAAGAGAGTCATATACCTGCACTATGCTGCTGGCAGCTGGGATGTCCTCAGGGACGCTGATTTCGTAGCTGCTCTGAAGGAAGATGGGTCGGTTGTCATTGACATCCAGGACGGTCACATACACGGTGGCAGTCCCAGTATGCCGGTTCCCTGTGGGGCCGTTGTCTGTATGGGAGAGAAAGGTGAAGGGACGTTCAGTCACCTCCATCTCCTCCTTGCAGAGGTGGTGCTCAGCCCTCAGCTGCTGAAAACAACAGGAGCAAAAATTCCTAAGCAAATCCTCCATCTTTTCTGCAGCTTCCAAATCCCACACTGAACCACGAGGTTCTTTTCTGCTTATCCTGAAAGAAAAAGGAAAAGCCAAACCACCCCCAAGCTCTGCCATGGAGCCACTGTCCAGTGAGGCTGGAAACACAACCAGTTATTAAAGAGGGTTTGCAACTCCATAAACAAAGAGGGTGATGTATGCTGGAAGCGCCTGCTGGAGGTCAGGGATCTGTGACATGAAGATACGCAGTGATTTGATGAATTTGCTGTAGACCCAGCTCAGGTCACAGCCAAAGAGCACCAGGACTGGTTCATGTTCAGTAGATAAGGACATGGCAGCACGGCTCCTGCTTTTGCCATGAAGGATGAGACAATAGGGAGCATAGGATGCCTCTGGGTTTTCCAACGTGCTTGATGCAAGTGAGCGCTAAACCCACCCAGCTGGAGCCCATAGGATCTGGTGACTGCGAAAACACAGGCAGCCTGATGCCCATCAGAGGGGCAGAACGGACACTTTACCACTTGGGATCCAGTCCTGCGTGCCCAGCTGGTGCAGCATCCCCGCTGCAGACCCCGTGGCACCTGCAATGCCATGCCCCCAAGATTTCTGACCAGGCCACTTATTTCTCCTTTCAAAAGGGACATCCAAGTCTTCTGTAAACAGGCACATCATTATAAAGCTCTGGTGATGATGGCGTTTGGCACGCAGGCTCTCTGCCCGCGCCAGGTGGCTCTGGATTAATCAGCAGCCACTGAACCAAGGGCTGCCATGGCATTAGGAGAGTGATGCTGTGGCACTGGCATTTCTGGGTGGAGGTCTGCCCCGGCCAGCACAGAGCCTCTTGGGAATGGGGGAATGGGGAGCCCAGGGGAAAGGGAAGACCCCAGGGCTGGGCAAGCCCGAATTTACTGTCTGCAAAAGTCACAGTGGAACTGGGACTTACTAATGCATGTGGGTTGTGAAATGCTAACACCAAATGCAGGCTCTGGTTTATAGAGGACCTCAAAGGTTGCTGTCTCTCTGCTGCATTTCCAAGGCAGCTCAGCATATGCATGGCCACCTTGTGTGGCTGTGTGGCAGCTGTGCTGTGGGAATGGGAGGAAATCCTTACCAATGGCCTCCAGGATCAGTGTGTACGATGCCACGGTCTCCCTGTCCAGACTCACAACTGTCCTGACCACCCCATCTCTGAAGCCAACGCTGAATTTGCCATCCTGGTTCCCACCTGCAGTGGACAAGGACCAGGTTACTCGCTGTCTGGATGCAGGGAGAAGAGTCCATGCCGCAGTGGATGCTGCAGCCTGGGTATGGGGTCAGCCCTGCCATGGAAATCACAAGTGCTCAGCCTGCCCTCCTGAAGGGCTGCGTTTTACACGGTTTTGAGAAAAGCAAGTGTAGGGCAAGCTCACATCTTGCCGTAGGCAAAGCTTCTCTGCAGCAAAAGCAGGCAGAGCACCTTCTCTCCGCCATGCCTTCCTCACAGTGCATGCAAGGAGCAATGGTTATAGGAAAAGCTGAATCATATAAACGTCAGATCATTTCCTGAATGCTTCGGAAGCAAACTGGGGTCACTTTGCACGTGGCCTGTGGTACCTGTGGGACAACACACACCTTTTCTCTTCCAGGGGAGGCCGTGAGATGAAACGTGAGGTTGCTATTGTGAGAAAAAAGACTCTCTGGTGACACTTCTATTTTTGCCCTCTTCCTGAGGGCCAAATGCTGTGTGTGCCGTTTGCAAGTCAAAGCGTGGCCAGGGGGTTCCCCGACATCCCGCTGCAGGTGCTGCAGCTGCGGTGCAAGGCAGGCACTGCCTGGGCACCATCACTGCCAGCCTGCTCCCTGCCCACCCAAACCCACCTGCATGCCGGGCTACGAGATGCCCTAAAACTCCAAAGAGGCTTCCAGCCCTAAATGAACATTATGTGAATGCTGCCTGGGTGGTGTTAAGACCATCCTCATGCTTTTCCTGGCTGCATCCTGATGGTGTGAGAGGGCAGGCGATGCTCAGGGGCAAGGGTTGACCCCAAGCAGGACAAGGAATAGCGGTGGAGCGGTCAGCAAGGTGGGGAGCCAAGCGGGGCTGCTCGGCAGAGGGCGATACTGCACAAGGTTTGGAGGGGCTGGAAAAGGCAGCGCTGATGTGCAGAACACCCTGGCCAGGGTCTGGGGCAGCTTGCACCTTTCCACAACCAAAGCTCCCCTTTGCAGTGTTTTTCAAGGGGTTCATACCTGTGATGAAGTAGCTGAGCTCAGCGTTCAACCCAACATCAGCATCCGTGCAGTTGAGCCGGACCACTTTGAAATCCCGGGCCACGTTTTCAAACAGTGACACATTGTAGATGGCTGGGAAGAAGGTGGGGTTCTCGTCGTTCACATCCAGAACTGAAAGGGGGAGCAGAGCTGAGTGCCCTCCCCAGGGCTGTCCCTCCTGCAGATGCCAGGTTGATGTCCATGGAGCTCTCAAAACTGCCTGCCTGCTGCTCTGAGCACTCCAGGGAATGCTGTGCCTGCTGCTCCCTGACATCTACGTGGTGTGGGTGCCTGCAGACTGGCTGTGAGAACAGATCCCCACGGCTGCAGGCTGTATTTGGTTGCCTCTGATACATACCTCTCATGTCCAAAAAAACACTGCATAACGGGTGCAAACAATAACTTTAATCACAGACTCATTTTCATCGCCACTCAGAGGGAAATCTGGGGCTTAAATATAAGCTCAGTATTCCCTGGCATATGGCAGAGGGCTCTAGAGTTACAGGACCAGAAATTTCTTTTTTCCAAACCCAGGCCTGAGGAGAACCCAGGGTCAGTTTATTTCCAGGTGATGCTTGTCCTCAGCACTAGGCTCCTATGAAGCCAGTAAATATAAATGCATGAAATTAAAGACTGACGATATAACAAGGGTCTCAGTGTGTCTCCCCCATTGTGAGGTGTCTTTGTCACCCATCTTTCTGGGACTGGAGGGTGCTTTGCAGCTGGGCAGAGGGTGGAAGGGGTCTCAGCTCACCCACCTTTGACAGTCAGGGTGCTGGTGGAGCTCTTGGAGGGCACGCCGGCATCGCTGGCCACCACCCGCAGGTAGTACTCAGCAATCTTCTCCCTGTCCAGCACAGCGGTGGAGGTGACAAGCCCACTGGTGCTGTTGATGAGGAAATCCATGCGGGGCATCCCCACTTGCATGCGGTATGTCACCTGCCCATTCGGACCCTCGTCCAGGTCAATGGCCACTACCTGGTGGGGAGAGTGGAGGGAAGGGGTGAGCATAGGGGAGCCTGATCATCTCCTGATGATGAAAATCACAATACCTAAACCCTGAACATTCCTTCAACCCCAGGAAACAAAGGGGCCTCGGAGCATCCTCCCTGCTGGGAGTGAGAACATGTGGTGGGATGCCGCAGCCCCTTCTGCATGCCCCCACTTGCATTGCTAGAGGATGGGGAGGAGGTATTGCTAGCCTGCTTTGCAGAAGTGATGGCAGCGACAGCAGCAACTCCCAGTGTGGGGCACGGCAGCAATGGGACAGGCTCACCTGGAAGACAGAGGAGCCCACGGGAAGGCCCTCAGCAATCTCAGCGGCAAAAGGCAGGTTTTGGAAAGTGGGGTCATTGTCATTCAGGTCCAGTAGGTTGACGAAAACTGTGGCACTGCTGGTAGCTCGCAGAGGTGGCCTCCCACCTGCGGAAGCCAGGAATGGAGTTAATGCCTTGAGCTGTTTCCACCCGTTTCCCCTAAAAAGGAGCCCTCACTCCCTATGCAGACAGCAGTGCAGGGGGGTGCCCCAGAAGGCACTGGCCTGTCTGTGTCACCCCTTGCGCTGCAGCCCATCGGACTAATGGCACAGGGACTTGGCAGGGAAAAACTCTCCCTGGCAGCAGGCATGCAAGGCAGACCGGTGGATACCTGTGCATGAAGCTGAGAAACAAGAGCAACACCAGTCTGGGCTTATCTCTGTCTTTCTGGTAGGATGGATGGGATAATGGCTTTAGCGCAGTGCAGGGGTGATGCAAAACCAGAAACGGGCAGAGATAAGGTCGTATGTGCCTCCTGGCTCTTGGAAACAGGCTGGATAACAGATAATTATCTTCGTAGCTCCATCTTTTCTCCTAAAAAAGTTTCCCTAAGACACTATTTCCAAAGAAAAATACATTTCACCACTTGATTAGCCGTTTTCCTTCCACCTGCTCAATTGAATTTCCTAGATACTGATGGAGCCAGACTGAGAAGAGAGGGAGTTTCTGCCTCCCAGGCTGATTGTCAGGGTTGCTGCAGAAATGACTGTGCTCGCATTTTGAAGGTTTCTGGTTTGTTTTAGCAGCGGGTTTTAACCTACTCTCATTTTTAACCTCAAAAACATCTCTGCATCTCATGATCAAAACAGCAAATGAAAAAAGAAACTTCCTCATAAAGGAAAAATCAGGCTGAGAAAAGTTTAACTTAACACATGAAAACCATCAGGCAGGGAAAGCGGAGGGTGAGGAGGGTGACACTTGCACAACCTGAGCCCTGGCGATTCCTATCTATGGCGAAGCAAGACAAACCACTGCGGCAAAGAGGAGAGGGATGGAAGCAGGGCTTACAGTCAGTGACTGACACCACAATCCTCCGCATAAGCTGGGCCTCCTGGGCGTTGGGGTTCTCGCGGTCCAGCAGCACGCCAGTGGTACGGATTTTGCCCGTGGTGCTGTTGAGGCTGTAGAACTTATTGGGGGGTCGGATGCTGTACACCACCGTGCCGTTCTCCCCCAGGTCTGGGTCGACAGCTACCACCTGCCACAGAGAAACAGCAAAAATTAAAGCAGAGCAATGGGAATTAACTCCCACAGTGTGTCTCCGTGTAGATTCACCAGTGTCTAATAATGAAGCTGAGCTTCCATGACGGGCTTCCCCATATCAGAGGCAGCAAGAAGATCTCCTTCCTCCACACAACTGTGTATTTTCATGATGCAGGGATTTTGTATGCTCAAGACGTCTACTGTGGTGTTAAATCTCACTGAAATTGGCCTGCAAGCCCAGGAGATAAAAGCACACAGCAATCAAATGGGCTTTTCTCCTTTTAAATAAAGCCAGCTAGAAAACAAACGCCCTTCAGAAAAATAAAATAAACAGGACAGAAGCATGCTAAGGAAGTTGTGCTGCTGCATCAGAAACACTGGAAATAATTCACTGGTGGAGTTCTCCTCCACGCCAGACATTCTGTGCTTTATTGTTCTCCCTGTGACATTTTTAATTATAAGGGACATTATATTAAAAAACCCCCAACTTCATTACACTCGTAACTTCCCTGGCCCCTGCTGCTTGTCCTGCAGCTGAATTTACATTGTAGCAGTGACACAATAATTATTTTCCCAGAAACTAATTGGGATGTCAAAGGCAAAATGACCTCAAGCAGGCGCCGAGCAGTGGGGCTGATGCTGCATGGAAGAGAAAAAAATGCCATGCTCTGGCTTAGGCTGCACTGCCAGACCTTTCTTCCCCTCCTGAACTCCTTTTCTTTTGCAGCCTTCCTCCTTATACAATTTTGTGGATTCTCTTCACTTTTCCCTCATTCATTTTCCGTTTCGTGCCCGTCATTTTTCTCCCAGCATGATGGAGTACAAGCCTCCCTCTCTCCTTCTCTTTTATTTCACCAGAGGGACTTGAAAGGTTGTAAATCAATGTCTTTCAGAGGGGTCCTTGAAGGAGGTCATAGGCAAGGCTAAGAAAAGGAGAATTTGGCCAAGACCCACACAGCTTAGGGAGAAAATCTATCCCAGCAGAGACGAGAAACACACGGGATGGGCAGCAGTGAGGAGGCTCAGGAGCAGCCTTTTAAATGGACTTCTGCAAGATGGTGCTTGACTGGAGGTGACATCGGTTGAGAGGTGACTCCCTGCTCCAGCCAAGTGGGTGACAACCTCACTGGGCAAAAGGAAAAGGCTTTTAGAACAATAGCCACCTTCCCTTGCACGTACCGTGGTGACGTCCGATTTGGGGGGTGTCATTTCCACCAGGTTGATGAAGTATGGTTCATCCTTCCACATGGGATAGTTGTCGTTGATGTCCAGCAGTGTGATGTTCACCTGTGAGAAAGCAAGCAAGTAACATTGCATCAGGTGGTATTGGTTCCTGGGGCAGGACGGCATGTCCCCCTGGGTGGACAGCAGCACCAGCTACCTGACACATGTTCACCTTCTGGAGGGAAAACCCACAGAAAAACAACCTCCTGCATCTTCACAGCCAAGGCTCCTTGGCATATCTGGAGGGGGGTGTTGCAAATAGGTCACGGTGGTGGTGGTGACGTCATAGCAGGAGCATGTCAGGAAAGGAAGGAAAAAACTGAGTGACTTGTAAAAAGCAAAAAAAAAAAAAAAAGAAATAAAGGAGAAATCAGGAGAGGGTACGGTAACAGGGATGGGAGGTGCAAAGATAAGAGAGCACAGGAGAGGATGGCGCCCTGAAGTGTTACCTATCTTCATCTTCAGCACAAGAAACAGCATCTAAGTGTCAGTAGCGAGCCTGTGGGATACACTCTGTTATCTGTGAGTCTCTCACCTCCCCAGGATCACCTGTTTCAATCCAGCCTGTGAGTCTACAAAGGTGCCTGAGGGAAGAGCCGCAGTTCAAGAGAAGGGGAGCAGAGGGGCAGGAGGAATGCCCTGGTGCCTGCCACCCCCACCCCAGGGTGTCTCAGTGGAGCTTCTTCTGGGATCTTCTCTGCTGCCAAGTAATTAGGTGCTGCTGCCCCTCCGAGGATAAGCTGCTGGTGCCACCCCGTGGTAGAAGAGATGAATCTGGACACCACTGTCTCCAAGGATGTGCTCAGGGCACAAGCGAAGGCACTGCGGTGGTCCATGGGGAAGGTTGCTGACCCACTGCTACCCCAAGCACCCCAGGCACTTGTCCATCACGTGGGGACCTTGAAAAGCCCCTGAATGGACCCTAATTCCCAGAATAAAAATGATTATAGGGAACAGCTTTGAGTTCCAGGTGCGTATCCTTGTTAATGACAGTAGACAACCTTAATCAGCTACCCACTTCTAACCAAGTTTTAATATTGTTTAACTTTTTAGGAACTATGATGCATTATTTTTTTTTCCTAATTGCAATCTGTCTTGCAAAACCCTTGTTTTGCCTTTCAATAAAGCTGTTAGTAGAACATCATCTTATCTGGAGCCCCAAAGGGGAACGCAGCATCCAACAGGCCATGCTGTTTCCCGGCCAAGGCATCATGTGCCTCTGTGAGGCTTCAAAGGAAGGTTCTATTCTGCTGCCTCAATCATACACCTCCTGATGGCCCTCAGCAGTAGTGACAATTATTTTAGGGATCTCCTCAGCACAACCACACTATTTCTCTGCATTGCTCTCTGTTGTGTGGGGCATCTCACCTGCAACCCAGCCAAGCATCCGAGGAGCAAGAGCACCCAAATGTTATGAAATGTTCAAACCAATATGGTGCCATGAGCAGTGAGAGATGGATCCTTGGCTTTTGACCTCCCGATATTTCCAAAGACTTTTACAAACACTTTGCAAACAGTGGGGTCTCCCCGATGTCTGTGAAGGGCAAGGCAAAGCAGTAGGCTTCAAACCACAGTACAATGACCTGCACCAGAATCTTCTGAGGAGCCCAGGCATTACAAAACAGTTGGAAACCCTTGATCCAGGCAGTATGTGAATAGTAATCATCAGGAACAACTAAGTGCACCTGCAGGCTCTCCAGCTATGCATTTCCTCAAGAGGCATGAACAAAGGGAGCCATGCTGCGGGTGGAATGTACCCGTTACCACCTTTGCACCGAGAGGTGGACACATAAATATTTGGAAGGTCAAGTGGCTCCTGGGTGAATGGTTTGCTGGGAAAGCGAGCCTGATTTCAATGTCTACACAGCCGAGACAGTCATTCTGCAAGGGCTGTTGAGCAGCAGCTGGGGCAGCTCAGAGGGCAGACACCATCATATGCTTTTTACCCATTCACAAAGCTAAAATTAAATGCTAGCATGGGAAACTGAAGCACCAGTGCCTGGGCAGCCCTTCCTGATGCCAGCCCCAGGCGGGCACTGGTGGCTTGAGAAGGGAATTGCTCCTTCACACACTCACCATAGCAATGCCTGTCTTTTGGTGGTGGCCCACGCCTCCATCCACCGCCCGGACAATGAGGATGTATTCAGACTTGGCCTCCCGGTCCAGCAAAGACGTTGTCGTGATTTCTCCTGTAGCCACAGGAGATGAGAGGGATTAGAGATGTTGTATGGTGAAGAAGGGCACTAGTGAAAAAAAAAGACACTCAAAACCAGAGACAGGATCCTTCACAAATGGGCCCTTTCTTCTGATTCAGTTTCAAATAGGTGGACCCTGGAAGGGTCAGCAAATGCCTGCCAACTGTGCTCAGTCTTCTCATGGGAACATGTGTAATGACTGCCTGCGATCCCTTATGCTCCTTTCCACCCATAATGAACCGAAAAAGATGTCAAGCAAGGGAAGGCAGCCAGCAGCTCCTTAGCTAATATAAGCCCTTGCAGCCTTTTCTCAGGCGTCAGTCCCATCAGGAGCTGAGCTTCCACCGATGTCTCTGCCAAAGCTCTCACAGTGACCGAGCAAGTGCTGGTGGCTGAAATCTGGTGAATCTCTTAAATCATGTTTTTCTGAAGCAGGCTACTTGGGGGAGAATAGGGAAGGGTGGGAGAAGGATTGGGGGTGAAAGAGGAAAGATGATTGGGAAGAAACCCAGGGGAAATTTAGGAGAGGGAAATGAAAACAGGGTGAATGTGTGCAAAGGCTCACCTGAGCGAGCATTGATCCGAAAGTGCGAGGAGCCCTCCAGGGAGTAAATGATTGACTCCTGCCCATACTCCCTGGACCGGTCCATGTCCGTGGCATTGAGAAACAGCACTGTGGCTCCTTGGGGGAGGAAGAAACAAGGGCTGGGACAAGGCATTAATAGCTCACAGTGGCACTCCCCAGCTGCCCTGTCCTCCCAAATCGCTTCTGCAGGTCACCCAGCTGAGGGGTCCCCTTGCCTGCATGCACAGTGGGGCCAAACCCCCAGACCCCATGGCTATGAAACTCTGCCAGGTCTCTGCCTTTTATCTCCCAAAAAAGCCATCAACCACCCTGTGATGGCTGTAAGACCCCTAGGGCCCTTCTGATAGCCTGGAGAAGGAGCAGAGCTAAGCTCCATACCTGCCATGATGTCCTCCATTACGGTTATGACATAAGAGGGCTTGCTGAATGTGGGGGGGTTGTCATTTTCATCCTGAAGCAAAAAGAAGGTCAAGAGGCTGGTTGGGAAAAAGACAAAATGGTAAAGTAGCTGCAAAAGTCTGGTACGGGGATGCTCCTGGCCAACTGCATCTCAAGACATGATCAACTCAAGGCATCAGTGTGTGGAAGATGACCTTAGGGATAAGACACCGGAGGTCTGAGTAGATGGTTTCGCAGAAGCAGCTATGGTTAAGGTACGTCGATTGTCAGTGACTTTGCTAAGCCATACAATACCGACTATCTTGTTATCCAGCATCATTGGCAATATGCAACAGGTTTGCAGCCAAGCATCCTCTGAGCTGCTTCTCCCTCCACTGCAAGCCCTGGGAAGACTCAAACACGGCATGAAGCACAGAAGCATCATGCGCAGACCCGCTCCTCCCTCTTGGAGCAGCACATGAGTTGTTTAGTGCTCTCAGTCACCCCAGCCATGAGGCCACCACACAGACTGGACCGGCCAGGGGACCTGCTGAGCTTTTGCTGCCTTTAAGTGGAGGAACGTTGTGGGGGTTTGCAGAGAGAGAAGCTACAGCATTTTCAGGGGGTGAGCTGGTTTGCATACCAATGTGCTCCCTCCAAGCCTGTCTCTGCCAGTGACTACAGTCGGCCTGGTGAAACCAGGCAGGAGCAACTGTTCGAAACATCCTTCAAAACAGATTTCGGACCAGTCTAAAGCTCCCCCAGGGGGGCTTTAAATGCTGTTTAAACAATGTTAAGAATTTTTCTTAAATGAACCAAACCCAACCTCCTACAGGGGGAAGGATGGAGCTGCCAGGACAATAAACACCACCGTTATGGACTTTGCCATTTCCCTGGGGCTGTTCTGGAGACGTTTTCTACCTGGAGACTGCTGATGGATCTGAAGGCTCACTGCTCTTGCAGCCACTGAACTTGATATTTGAGGCAATTTCACGTGCCAATGATGCCCATCATACTGCAATTAAATTACCATCCTCTGCTCTTGTTGCTGGAAGCAGGTGGTCTTTAATCAGTCTTTGCATCAGTCAGCTTTCACCGCGCCTCCTCTGAGGATAATGAGGAAATTGCCGCCTGCCCCCCCAAAGGGTGCCATCCCTCCTCCTCCTCACAGAGGTGGGTCAGGGTCAGGGTCATTGCCCCAGGGCAAACCCAGGGTGTCTGGGCAGGTTAAAGGCAAAGGAAATGGAGAGACTGAGTGTGCATGCAGATGCCACCGACAGTCGGATCCCGGTTGAGCTGTGCCACTGTCCAGGCTTGGTGGACACAAGCCAGAGCAGATGCCATGCTGTTTCGTTAGCGATCCTGAGTTCATCACGCCATGCTCAGCGCTGCCATGGCCTGGCAAGCTGGCTCCCAGGGAAGCAGGGCCTCACTCTTCACTGTCTCTCCATCTGGCTGGAGCTGGCATGCACCTGCCTGCAGCGCGACACGTTGCTCTTCTACTTGAGAAGGACATTTCCCACTTCAGCGACAGGAACATCAAAGCTCCCCACTGCAAAATTTCCCACGTGCCTCCTGCGGCAACCACAGTGATACATGCTTCCTCTGCTCCCACGGGAGAGGACATCCAGCTAACCAGCTAAAAACATCTTTCCATGTTCCCCTGACCCTCAGCCTTCCTTTCTACACCCTCACCCTCAGACAACCATCATACCATCTTCAGGGATGCTGAGAAGCACAGATGCTCACACTAAGCACACAACCCCCTTTCCTCCAGACGTATGCATGTTGTAAGTTGCTGGCTGATCAGGGCGTCAGCGGCAGGGAGTGAGGCAGAAACATATTAGCGCTGATATTTCCCCGGATCCTGGCATGGCGCATGCTATTAGTTCTGATTCGGCGGCTCCCTCTACAAAAGCGTATTGTCCCCTAATGGGAAATCTACAAGGCGAGTTTGACTTCTTTATTAAAAACCAACAACCAAATGATGAAAAAAAATTACCTCCTTCCACACTGGCTCTTGTTCCTCAAGTGCCGCCGTGAAATGCTTTCTCCTCATTTTCTTCCTATTTTCTGCCTTTTTTCCTCCCTCTTTTTCCAGTTGAGAGAAAAGCCCTTTGGTTGAGACTGAGAAAAGTGACATCTACTTAGAACCCACCAGTGTACAGACTCAACCCGGAGGAGATGACCCACTGAAGTGTGGTCTTTAGAAAGAGGTGTATATGCCGTCTAAAGCACAGCATGGGAAGGATGTATTTAGCCACCACTGATCCCCCCGGCACTGCCTTATTCCCCCTCTCCCAAGGACGGTGAGGAAGCTGGAAGAGACCCATGCTCATGGGACGTCATTCCCATCCTACAGTACCGCAGCTTCATCTTCTTCGCCTTCCCAGACTGACGCTGCTGTCAGCCCGGCTTAGATCCCATCACTGCAAGACTGACGGGTTATCAGGCAAGCTGTCTCCATCACTGATGCCTCCCTCCAGGCGTCCTTGAACCACAGTGTGCCTCAAAGTGACAATCCAATCTAATCTTCCCAAGGAACGCTGTTGTACTTTACCCCTCCCAGCAGCAATGTCTCCTTGAGGGGGTTTACACCTATGCCGGCATGTGAGATGCACGATGAAGCCCACAGCCCAGCCGGGACAACCAGCACTGGGGAGATAAGCAAGCAACTGCCCATGGTTGTTTCAGGGACTGACAGTTTATGACACTATAAGTGCTAACGTGCAGCCAAAGCTTTCTCCTCTGCATCTGAGCTGAAGCCAGCACCTCTGGCTACAGGCATTTAGAGCATCCCAGCCAGGGATAAGCTGCGAGCTGAGAGAAGCACTCACTGGGTGCTCAATGAACATCCCCTGTCAAAAACAAGGGTAGAAGGTAGATCTTCACCCTGTCCCCAGCCCTGCTCCTTGCCCCATGGTTAGCTGGGGCTCCTACCATGTTAATTCCAGCGGCTTCCCCACGCATTATGCATGGCTGAGGACAGGGAGGAGATGCATGGGGTCAGGACAGCCTGCCTGTGCTTGTCTGTGGTGGTACCCCCTCAGAGACACTCTTACTCACCCTCTGTCACTCAGACCGTACCAAATGCCAGGGACAGTGTTTCTTCAACCAATATGTATGATGCATATGTATGCAAGACATATATGGCACATATATACATATATGAGACAGATGTAATTGCAATCCACACGTATAAATCCACGGTGTGGGATAGTCTTGCTGGGTTATTGATGAATTAATGGCACTGCTATGGAGCAACTGCAAGGAAATCATGACAGGATCACCAGGCGCCATACTTACAAACACCTCGATGGTGATGGGAGCAGTGCTGTTGAGTGGTGGGTTGCCGGCATCCTTGGCCATCACAGTCAGGTAAATAACCCCATTGGCCACCTGCTCGTAGTCGAGGGGGTGGTTCACGCTGATCACTAAAAGGATGCAAAGCGAGGTGCTCAGGGGGGGCATTCGTGCACCAAGCAGGACGGCAGGCAGGCTCAGGGGTGGACCATCTGCACTGCCTCCCCAGGGCCAACAGTGCCTGCTCGAGGTGGCAAAACCCCAAAAACACGAGCGCTGGGCATTACTGAGCTCTTGCACTGGCATACCCCGGAGTGAGCCATACACCCATGGAAACACAGCTCTGCAGTGTCTTGGCTCAAGCCCTGCTGCAAAGGACCACGCTGCAGATGAGGTTAAGACAAGCAGAGCAGCTGCTGGAGCAGCTTCTTAAAGCTTGCTGACACAACTGCTTGCAGGGATGTGAGTGCAGCTCGAGCTGCTGCTGCTGCTGATCAGGGACACCATGGTCCCGGGACCAGCGCTTACCTCCGTACCCTTCTGAAACCGTGATGTCAAAATAGTCATGGAAGGCAGAAGCCTGCATGATGCTGTACGTGATCTGGTTGTTTGGAGGGGAGTCCTCATCAGATGCCTAGGGCAGGAGCAGAGGAATTAAGTGAGTACTGGAGCTGTGCTGGTAACGTGCAACAGCAGAGACCCAAGGGGATGGAAGATGCAGGCTGGGCCCAAGGAGAGTGGAAAAACAATGGAGGAAGATGCACTGATCAGGGGCCCCAACTGTTTGTAAAACTGGCCTCTCCTCCCATGCTGCCTCCCAGGAAGGACTCACCGCATCCCTCTCTCCTGCCTCCCTGTAGCACTCATCCAGCCTGGCCCCATGGAGAGAAAGTCATGCTTTTGCATCATGACAAAGTTTATTCTCTCTGAAGAAGCAAACAATCTTCCCTACCTGCCTTCCCTCCACAGGAGAGGCTTACAGCTACAACAACAACAGAGCACCTTCACCTCGGTGCCTGCTGACTTTACTGAGCAGAGCAAGGTGATATGGAGGCAGCGCCTGTGCCCCGGGAGAAGCCTCAGATCTTGGGGATGCTGTACAAACACACGACTTACAGGAGAGGAGGAAGAGGAGGGAGGCAGCCCATGCCTGCAGCACTGCACACAGTTGCACTTTGCAGTAAAGCACAAAGCATTGTTTATGAGGAAAGCAGGAGGTGTGGACAGAGACCTAACCTGCTCCCATCTCCCCACCACACATCCTGAGTGGAGGAGCCACTCCAGTCTCTCACCCGGAGCCGGACCACCTGGGTGACAGAGGGCTCGTTCTCCCGCAGGGCCCCCAGGTATGCCTCCTTCTGGAAGGTGGGGACATTGTCATTGACATCGAGGACATTGATCCTGACGCGCCCTGTTGTCTCCTCCCCACCGCCGTCCTGGGCAATGACAGTCAGGGTGTAGCGCTGTGTGGTCTCGAAGTCCAGCCGAGCTGTCAGGAGGATTACGCCCGTGTCCTTGTCCAGAGAGAAACTGAGGGGACAGGAAAGCAGTGGGAAAGCCCCTGTGACGACATGCTGGAGATGGAGAGGTGGGGTGGCAGCAGCCTGACAGCTAGCACTGTAGTTGGTGAAGTTCATGGTTTTCTTCTGAGAGATATTAGGTCACAGAGCATCTTCAAGAGCCTGGTGCAGGTGGTGGGGTAGAAACCCTCAGTGCCGTTCTACAGGCAGAGAAAATGGGCTCAGAGGCCCCCAGATCCCTTCTGCTGGGCAACCTACATGCCTCTCCCAACTGCCCACCATGAGCTGGTCGCACGCGATGCTCCAGTGCCAACAACTCGCTGGCAAATGCATTTATCGATCCCAAGCAATGCTGGTGCCTGTAGGTCCCAATTTAGCAAAGCGATTAAATGTGCTGAGCATCAGGCATGTGCTGAAGTTAACTCACCCCTTTGGGAGACAGCATAGTGGGGTTTCCACAGGCTGCCTTGCAGGTAGGACATAACAAATGCCCTTAATTGCCATGTGATTTCTTAGCGAGGTTAGAAGAGGATTTTAAAGAATCAAAGCCATGCCAGTGGTTCAGTCACACTTACCGGTCAGGGTCATCACTGAAAAAATAACTGACTTTCCCATACGTGCCCACGTCATTGTCAGTTGCCTGGAAAAAAAAAAGCTAATTAATAAATGAAGCTATTTATAGGAACATTGCATTACACACACTGGTGAATCCATTACACCCTCATTACCTCCTTACCCAGGTGCCAGGGGGCTAGCACCAGCTTGTATGCTGCCGTTTATCACCAGAGATGTGGGGCTGGGGCTGCCTGTGCTCACCTGGGTTATCCTGTACATCCCTGACTCACAGCCTACTCTAGATAACAGCTCTCCATCAACATATCACAGCATCACTCCCAAAACCTTTGGCAGTGAGAAATTTTATGCCTACTTACTTTGCTTGACACAATAACCTAATCTGGGAAGCGCACGTGAAATAAAGGTCTCCACGGACAATTCTTGTGGGCCACCCGTGCTGGCCTGGTGAAACCCAAGAGCTGGGACCTCACATCCACAGCTCTTACCATTCCCTGTGCATTCAGGGCTGGCAGCATGCCTGGACCTGTGGGGAGAGAAATAAAAACCCACCCTGCTTCAAAACTCACCCCCAGGCTAAAATATGGACCAGGAAAAGCAAGCAAATGGATTTAAACCTTGCTTTCCATGCACAGCTCCTGCCAGACAGCCCTTCTGGGGGTGCAATCTCCTGCAGCCCCACTGATGGACCGATGCCTCTCAGGATGTTGTGGCATGGGCATGCAGTGCCGGTTCTCAGCCAAGTGCTGCCAGCAGCAGGACTGGCTGCATATCCATGGCTGCCAGCTGCTGAAGCTGGAGCAGGCTGGTCACGGCTAAGCAACCAGCACCTTCTGGGAAAGGTGTGTGAAACTCAGTGTGTCAGCTCTGGATGAGCAAGGCAAGATTTATGTATGTTATACAGTCTTTTCTCTAATGAATATATAAAATATGCATGAGCAGCGGCAGGAAAAAGGAGCAGAAAGTTTTATTTTTAGGTGAGGAAAGTGGAATACAATCCCAAAAATATCCTTTTTCTCCCCCAATACATTTTCTAAATTGAGTCCTGTCTGGACTGCTTAGACACCAACAGGTCTGTGAAAAACCAGGGTCAAAGACACATTTTATGTCCAGATACCAGCAAAAAACCTGTATTTTAAGAGTGGCATGGAACACAACCCGTTCCTAAACCTTCCTGATTTATCGATGGCCTTGATTATCTTTGACAGCAGAGTAGGAGCTTGAGCATTTCAAATCACTTTACCCCTGTGTCGCTCACCTGCCATATTATTGGGTAGCAGAGGGGCAAAGGCATGAAAACTAGCATGAATTAATTCATTTTATTCCCCAAAAATGCTTCCCCAGCTCAGGTGGTGCGTTTCTGCTGCATTATGCCAGCTGAACGATATGCCAGTGGAGCCAAACTTTCAGACTTACTGATTTTCCCGATTTTCCTCTCCACTGCTAAGATGCTTCTTATATGTGTTGCAGTTGCATTCAGTAAAAGGGAATAAACCTGCCAAAATCTGCCCAGAGAGACACCCATCGAGCAAGCGACACCTGCTCCTGGAGGGCCAAGCCCCCTCTGAGGTGCATCTTGCTTCTTCTAGCATGGAGGACACCTATGAAGATGTTCCACCCCAGCCAGAGCCTGGCTGCTTTTCCAAATGGAAACACCTGGGAAGGAGGGCCCTGGGTCCTCTGTCCTCAAAATCCCTGAGTGTTTCGAGCATCCTCATCATCGCCTGGTATGAGCCAGCCCTTGACCTCCCAGACAGGATTTTTCCCAGCTGTTACTTCTGTGCCTACTTCTGTGAACGCCTAGGTCCCATTAATCCCTAAGTGGCTGGTGTGAGAGCAGAGCCCAGAAAGGCACTTTCCAGGCACCTGGATTGGCTGGTGATGAGGTAATGATTTACAGGAGGCCTGACAGTGCCACAAAGCACAGGCAAAACTAATTCCCTTCATTTGGCCCCGTACAATTGCACTCGTAAGTGCTTATTGCGGTGACAGACAACACTGGGAAAGTGTAATTTTCGTCTGCTGAGGAAAAAAATATAGGGAAGAAGGAAGGTTAAGAGGTTAGCAGAGAGCCACTTGGTGTGGGAGGTGGCAGGGCCCTGGGGAGCCGAGCCAGGAGGGCAGACTGCACCCTGAGCTGCGGTGGTGCTGGTCCAGCCAAAACTGCCAGCAAGGCAAAGTGACCTGCTCAGGAGGAGCCAGGAGGCTGGGCAGCCTGACTCTGCCCTGTATACCACCTCACCAGCCTTCTAATTACTTACCCTGATTTACACCATGGGAGGTGGAAGGTGATGCCTGCTTGATGGCTTTCCTAGCAACTGAACATCATGCACATAGCGCAGGGCAATGGAGCAGGTTACTTGAGCATGACAGGCAATATGCAAAAAGCAAAAGGATGCACGCTCAGCATATTTAATTTTGGATCTATGCTCATTTCTGCATTCCCAAACTTTTTCCCTCTAAGGGTAAAAGAAGATGCTCAGATGCTTGAACCTCTGGAGAGGCGACATGCACCCCCTTTGCAAAGCGATCCTGAGGTCTCCCAGGGAACATATGCAACCCGTGTGCAGAATACCCCAAATCCCACCGAGCCAATGGCTTTGTGGGGCTTTTCACAATTCCTGGGTACCAGCTGTTTTCCCATGGCTTGGCCCCCTCACCAACTGGTCGTTTCTCCCCCCCCGCTGCCCAGCATGCATGCATCCATCCCCACAGCCGGGGGAGGAAAGGCATCTGGCTGGAAGTTTCCCGGGGTTCCACCTGGAGAAGCAATCAAATGGCTTTTACGGCTGCTCCTCTCCTGCCCAGAATATTAAAGTAGGATTTGCCCACTGGAGCCTGCAAAAGGGCAAGATGAAAACACAGGTCCACATCTGTACTTTTATGAGCTGTCATCGGCACAGCCCATTTCTTAAAAAAACCACATTTGCACAGCTAAACTCCAGGAGAGCGGCAGGAAGAGGAAGGCTGGATAACACAAGGATTAATTTACTGAGCTGCAGCACAGTGTGGGTACCCAGTGCATGAATCACAGGCACATAAAAATACCCACAGCACAGCCCTCCATCCCCTAAGCACAAATATTTCGGATGTCCCCCTTTTGTCCCACCAAGGGCCATCACATCCATCCTTCCCCACCAGCTTGCGGGCTGGCAGAGACGGAGACGAAAGCGAGGAGCCAGCAAGCGGTTCTGCTCTCGTGGGCAAACCTGCAGGAAAGGGCATGTCGTCCAATTTGTTCAGGAAACAATAGCAATGTTTGACATGTCATCAGGATTGATGGAGCAGAAATTTACATGGGAGAATTCAGTTTTAAACAGCTCCACGGAGCTTCGCTGGTAATGGTTTCGACATTCATCATCCATTGAGCCCCACTCAATGACTTCTTAAACTGCCTGAGATTAACTCTACTCATAGCAGCTTCAGGGAGCATGGCAGAGGAGTGAGGAAAAGCTTAAAGAGCCAAGACGACCCTTTCAGGACAGCACAGATCTCCCACGGAGCCCCTGGGATGGCAGTCCTTCCCCCAAACCTGCCAGGTAGGGATGAGCAGATAGAGGTTGGTTGTAGGGGTGAGCAAAGCCTGTTGGAAGGATGACTTGTCGCTGTCTGGATGAGACGGGTTGCCATGTTCTGCCTGCCTGAAGATGGCTCCGCCAGCACCAAGGGAGCCAAATCCTTCCCACCTTTGCCTCTGTGCAGGGCTGGAGAGGTCCTAGCTCAGTTTGCTCTCATTCACCCTTTTTGTTTTCCCTCCCCTACCTTGCATGCAGAAACCAGGAAATAAAAATTGATGGGGAGCAAATTGCTTTGGCCAGAAACTTAAAAGAGTCATAGCAGGAAAGCAATTACCGAACATCAAAAAGCTGTCAGGGTACCAGAGTGACCAGCCATGAGTCTTGTCCTGCCACTGCCTGCCTGCCTGCCTGCTTCCCTGGCCCTGCTGGGTGGGCAGCGGGGAGGCTAAGATAGCGAGATGCCTGGGGCTTGGGCCACGGGAGAAAGCCAATGGAAGGAAGATTCCCATCTGCTTCCTACTTTTTTCTGGTTTTCTAGGAAAATGAGGCAGATGTGGTCACTCCTTGGGGCAGACTGGGCAACCACAGGCTGCTCAGACCATGGTACAAGCAACACAGGGTGAGGAGCCATGCCCTGTCATCAGACCGATTTTCTAAGCCACCTAAACCCGCATGTGTTAAACAGCAAGCATCCCCTCTTAAATGCAACCCACTGCGATCTTCAGGTCCCAGGGGAATAACAGCTAACCTCCAATATCCACCTGGACTGGGATTTGATTTGTGATTTGGGGGAGAGAAACGTGAAGGGCCAAGAGCTTCCATGAGAAGCAATCACCAGCCTGCAAAACTGGATCAAGAAAACCAATGGAAAACCTACTTAAAGTAGTTACGCCCTTCCTAAACAGAAAACAGCTCTTTCGCTAGCATCGCCTTCCCAACCATGTTCTTTCCCAGGTCTTTAAAGAGCGGCTGCCTGGTGGGAGGTGGCAATCATGTGGGAGTGGAGCCGGTGGCTGGCTGGCATCGCTGCGCTGGAGGCCCAGCAGTGTGATTAGCCGGGAAGGAGGGAGGTGGGAGTGGGGAACAGAAGTGATGCTGGGGTAACCGCCGCTGCTGCTGCCTTCCCCAGCAGCTCCAGACCACGCACCAAGCCGGGAGCTGAATCACTGCTAATGACCCCAGAGGGCTGCGCTGAACCTTGCTGAGGGGGGGGGAATAGCTAATCAACCCCCCTGGGAATTGCAGAGCTTTTGCCCACCTCTTCTGCCAGCCACCGGTGAAAAAAAACAGCCTCTTTGATTGTGTTTTATAATAGCAGGCCCTGCAACATCAGCTCCTTGCAAGTGAGGTTAACACTTGCTTGGGCAGCTTTGATTTAGCAGGGAGTAATTTACTGTAGCCAGGCTGTTGCAATGGCTGGAGACTGAGGTTTAAAACGCAAGTCAACAGAAGACAGCCCTTGAGCGAGAGAAACAGGCGTCTTGAGCGTGGGTTTCCACTGCGCAGGGTGACACCAAGACCACTTAGGTGCACACCTCGGTGGGTTTTA